CAACACAAAAAAACAATCCCGCCCCCCCCCCCTCCCCCCCAAGTTATTACTCCCTCCGTTTTTAAATATGTGGTATTTCTTTTTTGTTTTAAAATAAGTAATATTTTGGAATTTTAAGATAGAATTGATCTTATTCTTTTAAAATTATTCTTATTTATAAAGGAAAACTATATATAATTAGACATACTTCACTATCATATATACTAGTGAGCGAAATTCGTATGTATCCCAATTGCGAATCACACTAGATATACATTAGATACATGTATCTATATGTATTTGGAGTGATTCACATGTATACCGGATACATGAGAGAGTAGTGGTGAGCAAGATGAGAGAGAGGCAAGGGAGGCGAGACAGATTTGCTATGTATCCTAGATACATGTGAATCCACTTGAATACAATGTATCTAGTACAAATTAAACCTAATTTTGACCTCAATATATGTATCTGGGCGTACCTGCAGGCACCAAAATATGGTAAGATACGTTATATTGTAAAATAGGGTGTATCTAAGTAATTAACTTCTTAACTAGTGAGATTTATGTAAGTTATTTGATATTTATTTTACTATTATTATCAAATACTGTTCCATTTGTTTCATATTAATTGTCTACACTATTATTGAAAATAGTTGTTCTTAATTGATTTTCAATTTATAAATTAAGATAAAAAAACAATTATATCATATTTTTATAATTAATTCTTTTTTATTTTTTAAAGGGAGAGCAAATTTATAAAGTTCAAAAAAGATATAACACATTTTATAATTAACAAGGATAGTAACATTTAATATTAAAAAAGAAGATACAACCATAGTAATAATTAATAAAGATGAAATAATTATAAGAGGTCACGAAATTGTTCAAGAACTTTCTTACAAATATCTTTAATATAATGATAACTTGATAAAATTGTAGCATCTTCAATCTGAAATTCTATACAAGTGGAGATGAATGCATTAGCAACACCAACACCGTCTACAGCTTCTCGGATATTCTTTTTCTTAAAATGGTCTATAGAATGGTACAAATCGAGTGAAGTCACCTCATACCATTTGAAACAAGAAGCTCTATTCTCTGCAGAAGCATTTTTTGGGTTCCCTTCACTAAGATACTCAAGAGTGGCTGTTGCATTGGCTTCTCCTAATTTAAGTATGGATATGATTGCATGAATATCTGTGTCTGCTTTGATTTGGAAAGACAAAAACAAGAGGAGGGTCACAACAACTAAGCTACTTCTTAGACAATCCATTTTTATGTTGTTTCTTCTTTTGATAATTTTCAAGAATGTGATTGTATTGTATATATAGCTACTTTTGTTGCAAGAGGTTAATGCTTCTCATTAATGTCACCATAAAGAAAATTTTGATTGTCAAGATTTGACCATGACTTTTGAGTAACTTAATCAAATGAAAACATATCCCATAATAATTTGGTCAAAAATGTATTAATATAATACTTACTAATATACTAACATTGTTGACTTCTTCTAATTAGTACTTAATAGACATATAAATTATTGGGAACTTACATAAATTTCACTAGTTTAGGAGTTAATTATTTAGATACACTGTAGTTTCTAATAGGAAAAATTACTTGGATGAGTACCTTTTAATAAATAATTACTGCTTTTAGCAATACTTTTTATTTATTACCATTTATAGCAATACATAACAATACTATGTTAAATTTGCAATATGTATTAAAAGTGAATTATGTATGCAATACAAAATTTGCAATATGTATTAAAAGTGAATTATGTATGCAATACAAAATTTGCAATATGTATTAAAAGTTAATTATGTATGCAATATATATGTATTATAACTGGGTTTTTTAAACATATTATACTTGTTTGATATGAAATTGACACATTGTATTATAAGTGTATTAAAATGTGTGATAAATGTATTATCCATCAATAAAACTTGTATTTTATGTGAATAATAATTTTTCTTTGTAATATGTATTAAAACTGTATTAAAAGTAATCAAGTGAAAAAAAAATGTTATTGCTATAAATGGTAAATATTTTTTTAATATAATATATTTATGTAAGTTTCCCTTTCTAATATTACGTATTTTACAAAATTTTGGTGCCTTCAGATATGTCTAGATACATGGGATACATGAGGTCAAATTTAGGTGTAATTTGTTCTAGCTAAATACATTGCATCCAAGTGGATTCACATGTATATGTGATACATTGCAAATCTCGCTCGTCGCTCTCCCATCTCGCTCGCCACTCTCCCATGTATCTGGGCAAATCACTCTCGATACATACATATACATGTATGTAGTGTGTATCTAGTGTGATTTGCATGTATTTGTGATACATATGAATCACGCTCGCCTGTCTTCTTATTTTTGTGTATTTGGTAGCAAAAATACAGGTATCTAAGTGTAAGATACGTAGGAAACTCTTAATTAATGGTAAAATACACAATATTTTGAAAGTATAAGTAATATTAGTATATATAGTAGTGAAGTATGCCTAATTACGTAGTTTTTCCTACATTTTATTGGGTTAAATTCATACAAAATTTTGAATTTAATTCATGTTCATTTGGTTTGATTAATTAATCTGGCCTTTTTTTTACCCCTCCCACTAGGAGCTCCTACATTTTTTGCTCTCTTGGTGATTTGAACTCACAACCTTAAGGTTGGACTTTATAAATTAATTAGTCTATTTTTAATAAAGGGATAAGGGCCTGAAAAATACTCTAACTTTGATCGGATTTGCTGTTGCGATACTAAACTTTTCATAAGGACCTATTACCTCCCTAGACTATTTAATACCGTATTTTAAACATATATATTTTGCCCACGTGGACATAAAAAATAATGCAAAATTATAAATAGTAATGTG